CTGGGGGTTAGGACTTCAACGTATAAGGTTTGTGGTTTTTCTTTAAATTTTTTTTTTTTAAACGGAGGTACTGGGGGTTGAACCCAGGACTTTGTACCTGCTAAGCTCTTGCTATAGCACTGAGCTATGCCCTTCCCGCAACATATGAGTTTGGGGGGGGAACACAGTGGGTCCATAAGATTCCCTGTTACCTGAACAGTTTTTATTTTTCATTTCACTTCCTGATACAGGCACATTCCAGCAACTTGCTCCACCTGCAGCTTCCTGATGAATAACAAAAGACTGAAAGGGGAAAAAAACTCTGGGGCCCTCTCTTTCCATTTTCTTCTGAGTCATCATTTTCCACCTAAGTTGTTGGCTGATGCAGGGAATTCATGTGATAAGAAGGGTTATAATAGGATTCTTTGATCTTTTGTGTTTCTTAGACTGTCCTTGCAAGTTCCAGTTTGAACGAAAAGGGTGGCGTTGCTCAGGGTCATTAGCACCCCCACTTTCTCAGTCTTAGACAGAACACACTTACCTTTTTTGTGGGGGAAGGTAATTAGGTTTATTTATTTATCTTTTAAAGGCAGTACTGGGGACTGAACCCAGGACCTCTGGCATGCTAAGCATGTGCTCTACCTCTGGGCTATACCCTCCCCCAGAACACGCTTATCTTGATTCATGTTGAGTCTCACCAGACTCCCACACCTTGTGGTGCTACGAGAATTCTGCACCTGGGTCATCTTGAATGTTATCTACCCAAAGGGCAGAGAGGAAATGGTGTCTGTGGCGGTGATGGAGGATTGTTTTCACTAAGGGGAAGGGGGGAATAATTGGGGGAGACCAGCAACCTCTGCCACAAAGAGCATCTGATTGGATCTGCTTAGCATCACCCAGCACGGAGCATCCCCCTCACACAGAGCTTTGTGCCAAGTTAGTGCAGAAGAGTGTCCCTCTCTTTTACCCAGACCATATGTGGCCAGCGATGACTGGTCTGGTGAGCCAGGACTGAGATGGATAGATAGTTAGAACTGGTTTCATTCAGAGCCTAGTTCCGGCTGGTGGCGTGAACCTGAGCGTTTAATGCCCTCCAGAGGTTGGAACACATCCTCTCCTATCTTTAAGCAGATCCCAGGGCTGGACCTGACCCCTCCCGCCCTGGATTCCCCATAACGTGGAACACCTTGACTGGACCCTAGTCAGGAGTGCGAGGCTTCCTCTGTTATCAGCCACTGAACACCCCAAATTGGAGAAGTCTGACAGATGTTGGGGAATTGGTTCCCTCCAGAAAGACATGTTAATACCGGATGCAGCTTTCCTTAGCCCGCCCCGGGGCTCCCCTGGGAGCAGGGAGCAGCCGGCGGAGCCGTCTTAGGGAGCCCCGAATCTCTTTCTGGAGTCCAGCTTTTTAGTTTCTTATTAGAAGAGAAAAGTATGACAACCCCTCCTAGGGAAACGTTCTTCCGGGTGCAGCATGGACGTCAATAAGGCTCCACTCTTACCGGTGTATCAGGCCTGGAGATCACAAGGAGTATTAACTTGGGATCTTTGCGGAAATGTAAACGAAGTGGAGCCATGATAACCCCAGCCTGCGTCCTCGTGGACCAGCCTGGGGAAGCCAAGTGCATTGGGCCGCCAGGGGGAGCCATGGAGTTGTGAAAAGCAGCGACCTTGATTTGGTCTCCATCTTCACAGGGGTGCGGTAAGAACTGGATAGACAGGGTAAGAGGCAGGAACGCCTATCAGCTTCCAGAGAAGAAGGAAGTGGAACGGGGAAATAATAAACCAATGTTAACAATAGCATTGTTAATAACAACCAATAATAACTATTTCCTATTTATCATTCCTATGTAGAAAGACTGAAAATCTTTATTCTAATAGCTTTGTTTTATTTATTACTGTATTATTTAATTATTTTATTTTGATGGGGGGAGGTAACCAAGTTTATTTATTTTTAGAGGAGGTGCTGGGGATTGAACCCAGGACCTCAAGCGTGCTTAACAAGCACTCTACCACTTGAGCTATACCCTCCCCCCAAGACTGTAAATCTTGAGATAGATTAGCCTCTGAATGAAGGGATGGGTTCGGAGCTAGGAGTCAGGAAAAGCAATTGATGGTGAAAGAATAGGAACTGAAAAATATGGACTGAGGATGGTGGAAACCCGGGGCAGCGATCCCGGTAACTCCCTAGATGAGCAGCAGAGGGCGCCCTACCAACGTTCTGCAGGGAACGTTGAGCTGGCGGCACAGCCGCAAGGGGGCGTCATGGGGGCAGTAGGTGCACAGAGTCCAGTTTCTGAAGGAAAATTACTTGACTTCGGTGGGCTTCAGCGTCTTCATCTGCAAAGTGGACATCGCAGCTCCTACCTTTGTGAATCTGAGAATGAAAAACCAGGCTGAACAAAGTCAGCACCAACAACACAAGAAAAGCAAGGAAAGAGAGAAGCCCATCCATCATAGGCACGCTGGAATCCAGCCACATCTAAAGCCAGGTCTAATTGTGTCCTGAATAAAAAATCAAGAAATAAAGGGGACTCAGGACGCAGAGACATGTAAGACAGGAGCCCGAGCCCTGGTGGACGAGTTAGTACTTACTCCAGTCCACATTCTGTCCCGCCCTAGTTATATTTGTGTACAGGGGCGGCGGGGAGGTGGGGGGGTGGGAGTCTGGAGCGTACAGTTAAAAACAGATGCTTTAGAGACAAGAAGATGAGATTCAAATCCTGTCTCCAGGCATGAGCTGTATCTGTTCTCTAGAAAGCGAGGTCGTGAAAGAGCGCAGTGTTGTAATGGTCTATTTGCTGTGAACTGATAACCAAGGAACTTTAATCACATAAACAAGTTCTATGATTTCGCCCCCAACACTTTATGTTCTTCATGTCACAGGTTACATCGTTTTAGCTTGTGTGTCCATTAACAAACTGTTGTGGTCATCACTATCCTTAATGCTTTTGTCTTTTAACTTTTATACTAAAATTAAAAGTGATGTACACACCACCATGGCCCTGACACAGTGATCTGTACTTGTCTCTGTGTTTACCTTTACCAGTGAGTTTTATGCTCCCACGTGCTGTCATGTTTTTAAGTTTATTGTTCTTTATCAGGAATTGACAGATAAGAGGATAAATTTTTAATTTCCACTAGGATATCTATTTTTATTTTATTTACTTATCTATTTATCTAAATGGCGGCACCAGGAATTGAACCCAGGACCCTGTGTGTGCTAAGCACATGCTCTAGCACTGAGCTCTACCCTCCCTGCTTGTATTACTCCTTACCATCCTTTTACTTGAACTGGAAGACCTCTCTTAAGCATTTCTTGTAAGGCATTACGCTAAGGGGAAGTAAGCCAGTCACAGAAAGACAAATGCCTCATGACTCCACTTGTATGAAGTCTCTAAAATAGTCAAATTCACAGGAGCAGGCTTTCTCCATCCCAGCAGTGTTGACCTTTAGGCTAGATGATTTGTGTGTGTGTGTGTGTGGCTCAGGGAGC